CAGGGTCAGCCTTGGCCTCCCTTGGCCTTGGCCTGACGCCCAGCAGGTGGTCTGGGGGGCTCCTGAGGAGTCAGGGCCTCAGACCAGCTGTGTGACCACGTCCCCTTCTCTCTTCAGCCCTTCCAAAGCATCCGCCTGTCCCGGCCTGGTGCCCTTTCTCTGAGTCTTCTTCCTGGAAGTTCTTTCTCCTTCTCTGCAGGGCTGCTCATCCTCCAGGTCCCCATCCACAGGACGTCTCCACCTCTCCTCAGAGAGGCCTTCGCCGCTCCTTCCCCCGCCTGAGGCTGTGCTTGGCCCCTGGTGGCACTCCCCCCATCCTCTAGACGCAGCCATCTCGTTTATTTTCTGATGCCTTTGCAGCCCGTTTTCTTCTAGAATGTGGCCCTGGAGGAGCATGGGTATCACGGACCCTAGCTCAGGGCTTGGTGCACGGGGATGCTCGGTGAGTCCCAGCTGAGGAGTGAACCGGTGGTCGTGGAAGCCACGCGTGTGCGGCCGGGAGCTGCTCTTCACATGGACGGGAGGGAAGTTCTGTTATCATCGTTGGAAGGGAAGGAGTATGAGGCTCTGGGAGGCATGAGTTGTTCACTGTCATGTGACTACTAAGTGGGGGACTGGCCGTAAACACAGAACTTCCTGCTCCCGATCTTACAGTCTTCCCAGTACACTTGGGGGGGAAGCTGCTTGGGAGCCTCGCCCACCTCAACTTGGGGCTCCCAGTTCCCATGCAGGCTGTGGGGCTCCTACTGTCAGCTCTTCTAGGTGACCTGCACCTGAAGGCATTTTCTTTCTGTCCCAAGCACAGCGCAGACTGGAAGTCCCTAGGAGGAAGACACATTCGTCCAGGGTGTGAAATTAAAAGATCTCTATGTCTCTGCCCCCAGTGCCTGACTTACAGCTTCGAGACCCTTGTAGAACACGGTGCTGGGAGAATCTTTTGCTCTTATGTTGGGTCTTAGACCTCGGTTCCTGACGCAGCTCTCAGATCCTGTGGGTTTTCCTGGGCGATGGTGGTGTCATCAGATGGGCAAGCCCTGGTCAGGAGCTTGGTACATTCAGCCCCATCCACCCTCCAGGGAGGAGAGAGGGGCCAGGGATGGAGTTAACAATCCACCAAGCCGACACAAGCACGCCTCCACCAAATTGGAGGGTTTGGAGATTAYAATCTCCGAACGTGTGGGGTGCTGGGTAGGTGGTATACAGATGACAGGCAGGTCCCACGTCCCTCCACCTGGAGGGGCATGCAAGCCATGAAGAAAGCACAGGAGAGTGTGATAGACCTTCTGATTTTATTTACCCTAGTCCCAGAAGTGACCTACTATCGCTTCTGTCATATTTGATTAGCCAGAACCAGGACAAGGTCTGCTCACGTTCAACAGGGCAGGTATGAGTTCCACGAGGTGGGCCGACTGTGGCCAACTTAGATGTCTGTCTGCCACACCAGCTCACAGGCACCTGCCATCTGAAGCCTGGGAAGCAGCTTTTTTWWAAAAAATTTTTTAATATTTTCGGCGGACACAACATCTTTGTATGTGGTGCTGAGGATCGAACCCCGGCYGCACCCATGCCAGGCGAGCGCGCTACCACTTGAGCCACATCCCCAGCCCCAGCCCGGTACTTTCTCACAAGTGTTGTAAGGGGAGCTCCTGATGGGGTCCAGGAGGCATGCACAAAGATGTCCATTGCAACATTGTGTACAAGAGCAAAACCTGGACTCACCTCTCCACCCACCAGCCAATAACTTCCAAATAACTAAGGACATGTTCATGCTCTTCAATAATGAAACAGAATGCGAAAAAGGCTATGACCTATTTTTCAGTGAAAAGATAAGTTGTAGAACAACATGTGTAAGTATTGTGTCACTTAAGACTCAACAAATAATATCTGAAAGATTCCCAGGCAACAGGTGATAGGGCTCCATCTGGGGAGATGAAGAAGGCTTAAAGGGGCTTTCTCTTTATTTGAAAGGCCAGTTAACACCACGGATTCTGACAGACTACTTGGGTTTAAGGCCTGTCTCTGCAGCTTATTAGCCGTGTGACATTGGGCAAAGTACTTAATCTCCTTGAATCTCAACTTCTTCACCTTCAAAAGAAGGATGATAATAATACCAAGCAACTCAGACACTTTTGTGCACACGGGTTTCAGTAGAGCTTTGGACATGTTGGGCGTCTCTTCCCCACTGCAGTTCAGGAATATTTGTGGGTGGTTCGAAATCCCCTGGTGGGGTGGAGGCAGTGGTGCATTTATACAATGGGGTTCAGCAAATACTACAAATGAGGGCTGTCTTTCTTTCTTTCTTTCTTTCTTTCTTTTTCTTTGTTTCCTTTCAGAATCAGTTTTTAAGCATTTTCTAGTACATTCCCAGCACTCCTAAGCACCGACACAGGCTAACTATCATTATCTGCAATGCTCTGATTTTTCTAAGGAGGATTGATATATTGTCTGTGCAATACTGTGTGGCTGAGTCACCACCTAAACAACAACAGGGCAGCCATGTGGAAAGGGAGCCTTGGTGGGGCTTGGAGGCGTGGGAGGCCAACCAGGCCCTGTGACAGGGGCTCAGTAACCTTGGGTGTGGGAGGAGGAGCGGATGGAGTGTGGCTCAGCTCCCCACAGGTGGTGACTCACAGCCTAAAAATACCCCAGAGCTGGGGGCGTGGGGTGCCGGGGCGGGTCTCAGAGCTTCTCTTCTCCAGCCTCCTCAGAACCCGACCTCCTAGATGTGCTTTGGAGGTCAGCTATGGGAAAGAGGCCTGAATGCAAAGTTCCCGGAAGAAGCCTGACCCGTGTCCCTCCCCTGGGAGCACYCGTGGGCAGTGTCAGCTGGGCCCCTATTGGGTTCATTGGGCAACAACACAGCCAAAGGGAAGGCCATTTTATTTACACTGGAGTTTCTCAAGAAAATCCTAAGGTTTAAAAAAACAGCGTTTAAACTCCTCTTTCCCCCTCTCTGGGTCTCGGCATTGAACACAGCAGGCAGCTTTGCCCCCGGGCCTTTCTCTGCTGTGTCTGTGCTGCTGTCCCTCATGTCCAAAGACCCAGCTCAAGGGCCAGCTCAACACGCAGTCCACCTCCTGCTCAGCAGGGCTTGCAATCTGGGAGTCTTTACCAGTAACCTTCTTAAGTAGGATAAGAGAAGAGACTAGAACAACATGATGAAATGGAATAGCACAGGAAGGACACGGTTGATGAGAGGAAACAGAATACCTTGCACAGATGGAGAAGAGATTGGACCAACTGTTAACTGCACGTCCAAATAGGGCACAATACATCCTACTACTGTGTAGAATTATAATACACCCATAAAAAATTTAAATTAAGAAAAAAACAAGTGTCTTTAATCAAACTTATTTCACATGGAGGGGGTTGCAAAAGAAAAAGTATTTTGAGTGGTGGTCGAAAATGTTTCAAAATCAATATTTTAGTAGATCTTCCCCAACTATTTGGATTGGAAAATTAAAAGTACACCCCAATCCCCTTACAGCCAGGGTTCCAGTGTAGCGCAACCCTGTAACACACGGAAACCCGGAAACCCGAGGGAAGCAGAGGCCTAATTTCTGCTGCTCCTGTTTCTGCCGGTGACCTGAGTCCTGAGAGCCAGGCTACTAGGTTTGGCATCCTGCATGTCAACTGGGGAGCGTCACTCACAGTGAGTGTGTAGAGAGCATGAACCCCAGAGGCATGTGACACAGCGGCGGCCGAAGGTGCTGGTGGGCTGTGTGACAGGGAGCTCCGGGCCCAGGCAGGGATTCTGTGGAGTCCTGGGGGTCTTCGTGTTTTGCCAGGACAGAACTCAGGCGTTCAGCGTGGTTCTGGTGTCTCCTGCATGTTGTGTCAGCCAAGAGAGTACACCCAGGGCCCACCCTCTGAGCAGTGGCTTCCTGATTTCTTACCCTTCTGAGGCTAGAAGAGGTGAGCTTCCTGGTGAGTCAGATCTGGGGTCCCCTCCTCCAGCTCCATAAGAACCCAATTTAAATCCTCCCTGGCTTAAGATAGCTACATCCATTTCTTTTACCTATAATTGAACTTTGGGCATTCCAATTGGCCCACATTCCTGTTTTTAAAATTAGATCGGCTTAGAGTTTCCTATTTCTTCATCACTCAACTCAGACTCTGCTCAAAGAAAGGCGTGGAAATGGACCTGGCGAGCAGGTGTGTGGGTGACGAGGGGGAGATCAATGCCTGCTTTATTTTTTCATATCCCTTTCTGGGGGAAAGGTCAACTCAGGTGTTTTCTGATAGTTACGTAGGAGGTATGGGCTGATCTGCTTTTTGTTCTTTCTTCTTTCTCTTTCAGCCCATTTCTGTCTTCTAAACCAACCTCCTTTTTCAACCCCTCAGAGCACTTATTCTAGAAGTTGTTGTCGCCCGGTTCTAATACTCACATAAAAGCCAATCAAGAATATTATCTAATGTGCTATAGTGTGTGTGTGTGTGTGTGTGTGTGTGTGTGTGTGTGTGTTTGGACAGCGGGAAGCTCAAGGTCACACGGTGGTTACATGTGGATGGCCCTGGGGTTCATACTGAACAAGTGTGTCCGTTTATATGAAATTCAGATGGAATTGGGCCTCCTGTGTTTTTATTCATTGAACCTGGCAATCCTGCTGGGAGGCTCCTGGGGAAGCAGAGGAATAACATTTAATCTAAGATTTAATAAACACATTCATTTATAAAAACAAAATATTAGGTTACTATAAATAAGTCCAGAGCGGTCAGAGGCTTATAAATAAGTCGTCCCTGGAGCATTTGGATCAATTCCTGCCTGATGCAAAGCCTCCCTCCAACAGGTGGATCAGGAGGTGCGCGAGAGGCCCCGGACCAGCTCGGGGCCTGGAATGGCCACGTCCTGCTTCCTGGTCTGACCGGTGCACAGCCCTTGGCTAGTTGCCTTTCACGCTCAATATCTCCTTGCACATTCTCGCGTGGAAAGTAGGTCACAACAATTGTCATTATAGACGTGGAAACTGAGGCTCAGAGAGGTAGGTGTCCACCCCAGGTCACCCAGGGAGGCAGCCGAGGGCCAGGTAGCGGCTCAAGTCCGCGCTACCCGCGGCCTCCTGCTCCTCTGCCACTTGCGGTCCGTGAGGTCGCGAGAGGGAGGAGGCCCCGGGGGGCGGCCGCTGGCCCTGGTGCCGGTCGTACCTCCTCTGGAGCCGGGCGCGCAGGTGCCGGGTTCTCCTGGCCTCCTGCGCAGGGAAGAAGGCGGCGGCGATGGCGTGCCGCAGGCGCCGGGCGTAGGCCTCCAGCAGCACCGTGCAGCCGGCCAGCAGCTGCAGGCTCGCGGCGGCCAGCGCGGCGGCGTCCTGGGGGCGCTGGGCGGGCAGCAGCCGGCAGCCCGCGGAGCTGAAGCGCAGGTCCCACTGGAAGCAGTGGCGGGCGGAGAGGAAGGGGCTCTGGGCCGGGGGCCGGTTGAGGAGGAAGGGGACGAAGTCCAGGACGCTGTAGGCCGCCTTGAAAGGAGAGAAGGGGCAGTCAACCGCGGGCTCTGGCACTGGCCGCCCCGCCCTGCGAGGCCTGGGGACCTCAGCCCAAGTTCCCTGCCCTCATCTGCAAAATGGGTGCAGAGATGACCCCCACTTCCTGGGAGGCCGAAGGCAACTGAGGCTGGCACGCAGGTGACGCTTTTGCCAACTAAAAAGCATCTTACCGGTGTCACCATGATGATGACGACGACGATGATGACGACGACCTTTTAGCAGAATGCTTTAGAGAAGGCAAATTAATGCTCAAGGTCATTTACCCTCCGCTAAGCCCCTAGTGACTATTCTGATGTACTGTCCCCTCAAATGTGAGTGATCCTATGAGGTGGAGGCCAACAGGAGCCTCATTTAAGAGATGGGGAACCCAAAGCCACTGGGTGGGTTCACATGTGGCCAACTCGGGGCAGTCCCAGCCAAGGAGGGCCGTCTCCCCTTAGGGAGAACATCTCCGTAGCTTGGCAGGCAGGTGTGGGGTCTCACACTGCTGTATTTTTAGGGGATCATGAAAATGTTTTTATTTTGCTTTAAGTTAGAAGAAAAAAATGAACGTTTATGCCAAACATTATTTTCAATTTGTAATGTATTTGCATCCATTTATTTAAAATCTTTTTTCATGGGGGAAGGAACCCATGAAACTGGCAAGCAGCTTGGTTCTGTCACTTTGGGTTTGATGAATTTGGGGGAAGTTCCCCCAGCCTCACTGAGCCTTGGTATCCTTCTCTGTAAATGGGGGTGATGATGGTAATTCCTATCTCAAGGATCATGGTGGCGATTAAGGAAACTACCTTATTTCATCCATTCTGAGATGCATTTTTTTTTAAACTTTTTAACATCTTTAAAATCAGGACGTGTCTAAAATCAATATGACCGGTAACTGCTCTCAGCAGCCACAGCAGGTCACATTTTGCTTTCAGGTATCCCTTTAGCCTGAGTGCCCACACCGAGGTTTTAGAAAGTGATGTGCATTCTTGGTCTGTGTAGAGTTTGATTGCCATCTCTAAATGTCTCCAAAAGAAACTCTGTTTCAGAAGTGAATGGTTGGACATCACTTGTCTCTGTTCATATATGATACACAGCCAGTGTAACTCCACGTGATGTTCAGCCTCAAGAATGGGATCCTAATTAGAGTAAGTCTACGCCATGTATGTATAATACGTCAAAATGCACTCTACTGTCATGTATGTCTAAAAAAGAACAAATGAGAAAATTAAAAATGATAATTAAAAAAAGAAGTGAGTGGTTATGTCCACTGAAACAAAGTCCTGAGCAGCAAGCCACAAATATATTAGTGAAGCAAGGATTCATGTTGAGGGATGAACTTTAGCCTATGTTTTCTTGCCAAGTGACAACCCACGGAAAGGAGGTTTGTGCTAAGTAAGGCTGAGTCACGAACCCGTGTGTGAGGGCCTGCCACACCCCGAAGCGCTCAACGAAAGCAGAAGGAGCTCCCAGAGCCCTGGCAGAGATAAGGTGGCCGAAGCCAGGAGGAGGGCTGGGCCCAAATGCTCCCCAGAGGGTCAGAGGCACCAGCGTCAACACTCGCAGAGACACGGCCCAAGCTTGGTCAACAGTGCTGGAGAAAACAGAGGGGCGTCACCAATGCCCCGGAAGACACCGCGATGTTGGCCAGAAGCCTGGGATACTTGTGACTTGGCCAGCGTCATTCAGGTTTGGGCTTGGGCGGAAGGACATCTTAGGACAATTAACCAATCACTTTCTATTTTTCTTTTATGTGTACCTGAGAGGAGATGTGGTGAAATATATCTTTGTTAAATAAAAGTAACTTACTTTTACATGAGTATAATTGGAAGTCTAAGTGAAAATAAAGCACTGAGTCAGGTTTAATGGATAGCATTTCCTCTCTTATTGATATATCAAACAAGAGTGTGACTTGGAATTGATAGCATCTTGGATATGATGAATGAAGTCTACGTCAATCAGGGAACACTCTTAGACCATTCCCTGACACATTTCTTTCCTGTGACCTGTGGTAGGAAATGCATTTTACAGCATCTTCCAAGCACATATTATATTATAATTGATGAAAAGTTTCACGAAATAATACATAGCCTTGTCATCTGCAATATACTCTCATAATTTTCTAGTTTATTTCATTAAAAAAAGACAACTTATGTCATGATCACCTAAATTGATTTCTTGCAATTCAAAAAATAATTTTATAATATATAATAAGTATTTGATAAATATAAGCTCTTAATATTATCAGCTCAGGGTCTGACATTTGGGTGTTTTTTATGCAATAGGCTTTTGTGTGTGATCTCACTATTAAAAATAAAAAATACAAACTGAACATGGGGCGCATGCCTGTGATCCCAGCGTCTCGGCAGGCTGAGGCAGAAGGATCGCAAGTTTAAAGCCAGCCTCAGGAGATCAGTGAGGCCCTAAGCAACTTAGCAAGACCCTGTCTCAAAAATAAATAAATAAATAAAAATAGAAAGGGGCTAGCGATATGGCTCAGTGGTAAAGCACCCCTGGGTTCAATCCCTAGTACAAATAAACAAACAAATATAAATAAATACAAAGAAAAGATTGGAAACCACAAATTGTGATCCGAAAGTAAATACAACCAACAGTAAGGACTTGGGAAATTTAAAATAGTAACTGCTGGCTTTGTGGTTCTGTGGTCTGTCCTGCATCTCCTCGACCATGCCGCCTTTGCAGAGCAACCATGGATAATACACAACAGATGGGAGGCTATGTTCCAATAAAACTGGATTTACAAAATCAGGAAGCCAGCTGGATTTGCTCTGAGAGTCACAGCTGACTGACTGATGGTCTAGGCCATTCCTATCCAGGCGTGAGCTGTTAGTAACAGCTACTATTTATTAAACCTCTTTTGTGTGGCATGTAACTCAAATGCAGGAAATGAGGCTAGAGTGTTTGGATACTCCTGCAGGGCAAGTGATTTTCAGGGTTCTGGGTCTTGGCATCTGCACCTACAACAGGAGGTGAAAATAGAACCACTTCCTAGGCCTCCTGTGGGGATCAAATGGGTTCATTTGCCGTTGCCCAGGCCACATGACTTATCCAAGGCCTATGTTTTGCAGGCAAGTAAATGCAATTGCATATCAGGTGGTTTTTTGTTGTTGTTTTTTCCAGTACTAGGACTGAACGTAGGGATGCTCTACAACTGAGCTGCACCCCAGCCTTTTTATTTTGAGACAGGTCTTGCTAAGTTGCTGAGGCTGGCCTTGAACTTTCGAACCTCCTGCCTCATCTTCCTGGGTAGCATTACACGTGTGTGTCACTGCGCCCAGCTCTGCAAGTCCAGGGGTCAGTGAGGCTGCCCCTTCCCTCCAGGAACTGACCTAGGTCATCTCCCCTCCCAGCACTTACATCATACTTAACCATAAGTGTGACGGGCACAACTGGCAACTTCTGAGCCCACTCCACTGCCGCCTGTGCCAGCAGGAAGGCCATGTGGTCTGTGGCCACTGCCACAGCTGTGACCACCAGGAGCAGGGAGAGAAGCCCCAGCCTCAGGAGACAGCGCAGCAGCTCCTCCCGGGACAGCTTGGGCCGGGCTATTCCGAGCAGCCACGGGGGTGGAGGAGCCACTAGGTGGGTGGCCTGGGCCTGGGCCAGTTGCCGGGTCAGCTGTGGTGTCTCATAGACGTTGTCAAACCGCAGGTCAGTCAGGTAGCGGTGGAGGTACCAGGCAGATTCCACCAGGAGGCCCAGCATGAACATCCCGGTGACCACCCGCTGAGTCCCCAGTGCTGCTGCCCGGGCCAGGGACTCCAATGCAGAGAAGTCCTCCAGGACCCCCTGAGTGACCCTGAGCATGTGAAGCCGGAAGGCAGAGCCATTTCCCTGGCTCTCAAATGTCAGGCCCCGGCCGCTCGATCGGCTGGTGGGGCCCAGTGCTGTGGACGCATTGCGCAGCTGGTGAGTGGTGTTGAGCAGACTGTCCAGGGAGCCCTCGGTGACGCACCTAAGCACCTGTCCAGCTGCACCCATGTTGGCCAAGACGTTTGGCACCACGGCAACAGCCAGGGTGGCAGTACTGTAGGACAGGAGCAGCTGGCGTCCCTGTTCCGTGCCCAGGGTGGGCACACTGAGCGCGAACAGGCAGCGGACCGGGGGTACCAGGCCCAGGCCCAGGAAGACCAGGAGTCCACACACAGTGGCTATGATGCCCGAGAGTCCTGAAGGATAAAGCCACGACGAGACCAGCCAATGACAAACCAATTCTGCGGCAGCAACAGCCAGGCAAGCGCAGAGGAGGAGCTGGGTCAGCAGCTGGCCACAGCTGGCTGGGACAGGCTGGGAGAAGGCATCCCAGGCAGCCTGCAGTGGGTCAAGGGCCTTGCGGATCCCCAACTGCGAGAACCTCCACCTGCACACAAGGAAATGGGAGGACGCTCCATCAGGGGGCGGGTGGGCCTGTCACCGTCCCTGCCTGCTCAATGCCAAGGCCTGCCAGCCGATGCCACCCTTTTGCTACGGAGGCAGGCCAACTTTCCAGATGGGCCAATCAGAGCTAACCACTCCCACCCACGTGACAATGCTGAACCAATCACAGCCCTCCCCAGGCTGGGTCTCGAGGGAGTGGTGGGCGAAGAGCCCAGTCCTGCGCAGCTCCTGAGGGTGGGGGGCGCCTGCCCGGCTGCCGGAGCCCGTAACCGAGTGAGGGCAACTGGCCTGAAAGAAGGAGTCAGGGAGCAGGAAGCCCAGACAAAGGGAGAAGGATCAAGGAGTGGGAGGGGCAGGGACGGAGACAGAAGCTGTTTTCCTGAGCTCATCGTCCTGTGGCCCTGGCCTTTATCATCTAGGGGCGAGGAAGGTGGGCCATTAGCTGGGGGGCAGGCAGGAAACGGGTAATGATGGAAATGGACAAGGTGTGCACACCTGAAACACGCAGGGCAAGGATGGAGGGCATCGCCTCTGGTCTGTTCTGATTCAAACCCCTGCTCCACCACTCACAGCTGTGTGGCCTGGTTCCTTAACCCCCTGTGCCTCAGTTTTCTCATCTGTAGAATGTGCCTCCTAGGGTCATTCTGGTCACATCATGAGCACCACCTGAGCTATTATCTATCATTAGCAGGTCAACACCTCCAGGGCAGGGGCTTTGTATCTTTGGGTCACTGATACATTCCGAGGGCCTGGAATAGTGCCTGATAAGTATTCATAAAGATATGGTACTCCTAAATCTTCATGGAGCRTGGCAGGATGGCTCCTGTTTGCTCAGATCAGCAGGAATCAAGGCCAGCATCGAGGGCAGGATGCTGGAGGAGGTAATGAATGCTTGAAGGTAAAGAAAAGGTAAGACATAATTGTCCCTGTGTTGGGCACCAAGGTGAATTAGGTCATGGGCCACACACAGGACAAGTTCACAGTTAAATTGGGGAGATATGAACAGGACATTAGAGCGTAAGTCCACCATAAAAGGTCTCTCAGGAATGGTCAGCCTGGGTCTGCACTGGGGTGGAGAAGGTGGAGGGTCATGTTTACCTGGGAGAGTCAGGAGGGCTTCCTGGAAGAGGTGATATTTCAGCTAGGGCTGGGAGAACAAGTGTCATTTCTTACGTGGGGAAAGGAGGCTGGGTGTCCCGAACAGAAGGAGCAGAGCATGAGAATTCCTGCTGACTGCTCCCTTAGGAAACAGGGTTGGGGGACTTGAAGACGGCTTGACGCATGAGGCCTGGGGCACTGGACCAGAGGCCACATCCTGGGGTCCCAAAGGCTGAATCCAGTGTGCAAATTTGCTTTGTTTTGGTCCACACCGTGGGTGTGTGAGAACTGCCGTCCTCTGGATACAGGAAGTTTCACATTGCAATTGGGATTTCTAGCTTCTCTGGGTCAGGGCTCCTGCCTTTGCAGCAGGTGGACAGAGCTGAGGACCCACGGCCCCCTTTGACAGGGATGCACCCTTACAGGCTGTGCCCCACCCTTCAAGGTACAGGACTGAGGGGCCCTGCCCAGCACAATCCCATCTGGCTCTTGAAGGCATTTGGACGGGGGACTAAACGCCCCTTCTACCGTCTTACTAGTGTTTGGAACAGGGCAGCTGATGAAATACCAGCTAATCATATAATCATAAAAACCAGGACCAAGTTCCATGCTGGGAATCACACATGACAAGGGCACCTGGTAATATTTACCGAGTGCTCCCTTGAGCCAATCCCTATGTGTACATTTCCTTACTCGACGCACACAACAGTTTCATAGACACCATGATCATCCCCACTTCACAGATGGGGAAACTGAGGCTCAGAGAGGGGGAGGGTGGACCCACGGTCTCGCAGCCAGGGCATGGAAGACCTCGAGGGCTTATACTCCTCACAACAGATTGCTGACCTTTTCTCACCTGTGGCCCTCACTGTCCAAAGTCCCCAGACCTACCCCGTCCTGACGAGGTGCTCAGCAGCTCCACAGAGGCCCCTCATGGTCCCTGAATGGCAGTCGGTGTCTGGCAGCGGTGGCAGGTGGAGTGGCCATGGGGGGAACCCTGTGCTTCTGCTTTTCTACCCTTTAAGCCCTCCTGGCTGCCTGTCCCGCCTGCCTGGGCCCACCTCCTGGGGGTTGGGTGAGCTGCCTCACCCTTTCCCATAGAGAGGGCCAGTGGGAAGTGTGGGAGGAGAGCAAGAAGTTTCCCAAGAAATATCTGCAATCCCCTAGCAGGAAGGTAGGCTTTGCCCCATTTTACAGAGGAGGAAACCGAGGTTCAGAGAAACCAGCTCATTCACAGTAGTTCGAGACAAAGAAGTCAGCTCCGCTTCCCCTTTCTCCCCTTCCCTTGTGTCCCTGGTTATTGCCCCAAGGGACCCTGCTCCCTAATTCTTGGGGGGGGGAATCCACTGGAGACAGTGGGATCCCTGATGGTCACAGAGGTCTGTGACTGGTCCCTGCTCCTGTCCACTGTCCTACTGCCTTGGAGGGAATAATTCAGACCTGTGATCACCTTGCTGTATACCCAGCATTACAAACAGAAGGCACTCAATAAATGTCGATCACCCGCATGTACTTTATGCTGCTGTCACTTCCAGGCTGTTCTGAAAGCCAGTCCCACCGGGAGTAGAGACATCTCCCCCAGCATCTCTGCACCCCACCATGTCGGGATGGACACGGCTAGATGGCATCCCAGGCTGCCTGTCGTTTGCCCTTAAAAGGCACGTTCCCTGGGCCACTTGCTTAGATCTAAAGAGGAGTGTCCTGCCTCCCGATAAGGGATGTGACCTCTCAGAGTCTCATAGCTGAGTGTGGCTCAACTCTCCTGGGCCCTGCGTCCCTGGAAGCCTGGAGCCTCCACCTCCGCAAGAAGCAGGCACAAAAATCTCCAAGGCAGCGGCCCTGTGCCTCAGGGCTGGGAGGGAAGCTCACACACAAAGCAGGTCCCATGGAACGGAGAACTGTGACCGTGTGGGCTCCTTTGGGAAAGGCAGCTGCTCCACGGCCCCAGCCAAATGTTAAAGCTCCACAAAAATGAGGCATGGATGGTGCTGATCCATCATCAGGTGCCAGCACGAGGGTCACCAACTTGCAACCTCTGCAGGGGGCCGCAGTCAGGCCTGCTGTCCAGCTGTCCAGCTGCAGGGAGCAGGGAGCGCTCCATGAACTGCAGGGGCCCTGGGCTGTGCCCAGCAGACAGGAACTCAAATGCCAGCTGTGCCAGTTACTGTGCTGTGTGGCCTGGGGCAAGACAGAGTCCCTTTCTGAACTTGTGCGTCCTCTGTTATAGCAAGGAGAACCTATTACCTACTTCTTAGGATTGTTTGAGGACCCAGGGAGATAATGTGTGGAGTATCCAGTAAGCAGTAGATAAATGCTCATGCCCTGCTCCCTCCCACCTGGGCTGGTAGCTCTGCCTGAGTGAGCTCCGGGCTGCTCAGACTTGCTCATGCAGGCCTCTGTGAGACCCCCGAGGCCACCCTCAGTGGGTCCCTTCACACAGGGAGTCAGGGCACTGTGCTGGTCAGAAGGGAGCCCACTAGCGCTGTGGTTAAGAACCACTCAGTTGTTTCCAGAAGGTCTGTGGATTTGGGGACTGGGGGCTTGGGAAAGGAAAGAGCAGAAGGTATTTTTGGCTTTTTTTTGACATTTGTGGGCAGTCACCCCTGCCCACCTAAGGCTGGCCTGACCTCAAGGCCCACCACATCCGGGAGGGGCTCTGAATCATCAAAACAGAGCAGCCCTGTCGAGGGGAATTTCTGGGTGCAGGATTCAGAGGCATGAGACAGAGGGGAACTGGTGACACTGGGTTTCTTAGCTCGTGGGTGTAGAATGAGGCCGCCATCCAGATGGTCAGGAGTGCATCGAGGCGGTGGGACCACCGGACAGACACGGAACGGGAGCCCCGGAAATGAGTCACACGATGTGATTTTCTGATAACCACATAAAAAATGAAATTAATTTCAGTGAAGCTATTTTATTCAGTCTGATCTATCCAAAATACTATCCTTTCAAATGTCAAATATCCTGTCAAATATCACCCTTTCATATGTGAAAAATAGGAAACATTGCTCCTAGGACAGTTCCCATCTGTTTTTCTCATGTTTTTAGAATCTGCTCGGCGTTTTGTTCTGTGACACACCTCGATTCAGGCCAGCCACACGGTGAGGGCTCAGGCCCTCACTTAGCAAGTGGCCTCTGTGTTGGGCCGGGCAGGAGCCAGCTGCCCCCTCATCGGAGACAGTTCCACTGGGCAGGGAGGCTCCCGCCGTGGCCACCGGGGACACTGAGGCCAAGATGGACCCTCCCGATGGTGTGATCTAGGGTCCTGGGTTCCAGCGCCTTCCCAGGCCAGGAAGGTGCAGAGTGGGAAGAAGAGTGCCRGGGTGAGAGGACACGCAGCAGCTCGGGACTGGGGTAGGTGACCGTCCTGGCTCCCAGCCACTGTCGCCAGGTGGCACGAGGGCCCCACATTGCTAGCTCAGAGAGGGGACAGCCTCTGGGTCAGGGCTCCTGCCTTTGCAGCAGGTGGCCAGAGCTGAGGACCCACGCACGGCCCCCTTGACAGGGATGCACCCTCGCAGGCTGTGCCCCCACATTGCTAGATCTTGTGGTGGTTTCTTTCCCAAGAGAAGTGGGAATCCAGATTTTTAAGTGAAATCTGAACTTTAAAGATGAGCAACCCAGCTGGGTGCAGCCCTGTCATCCCAGCGGCTCAGGAGGCTGAGGCAGGAGGATCACGAGTTCAAAGCCAGCCTCAGCAACTTAGTGAGGCACCATCTCAAAATAAAAAATAAAAAGGGCTGGGATGTGGCTAGTGGTTAAGTGGCCCTGGGTTCAATCCCTGGGAAAGAAGGAAGGAGAAAGGGAGGGAGGGAGGAGGGAGGGAGAGAGACGGAAAGAGAGAGAGAGAGAGAAGGAAGGGAGGGAGGGAAGAGAAAGAGGAAGAAAGGAAAATAGCAGGGGGGGGGGAAGCAGCCCATTAACAGCTGAAAATTCACCGGGGGCACCAGGGGGCAACCTCTGGTGGTGACTAAAGCCTGTCACCGTGTGTGGGGTCTGCCTCTGGACTTGCTTCCGGCTCCTGTCCCCTGGTCCCCTGGCCCCGGAGGTGGGCTTGGGTAGGCTGCACCGAAGACTCGTCACATTCTGCCTTCTGTGGTTCCAGATATTTGGTCCCAGGTTATTCTAGATGTTTCCATGAGGATGCTTTTGATGAGATTAACGCTTAAAATAAACGGACTCTGAGTCAAGCAGCTTGCCTTCCAGCATGGGGGRTCCTGCCCATCAGTGGGAGCCTGGCGGGAACGAAGGTGACCTGGGAGTCGGGGACTCTGCCGCAGGCGGCCTCAGAGCCACCTGCGGCTCCTGCCTTCAGTCCCAGCCTCGCTGCTGGACGCGGGACTCACGAGGCCCACAGCTGTGAACCCAGGGCTCACGTTCCCTCGCTCTTCCCTTCTTGCCCACAGCTTTGCTCCCTGGGTTTCCTCATCCATCAGGAATCACCGTCCCCGAAGATTCAGAGGAAAATCTCAGAAACAAACAACTCACCAGTTTTAAATGACTTTCATCTTCGTCATCACTGTCCACCTCTTCCTGGGCCTAATTTGTAAGATGACCGGATCCTAGCCGCGGAGGAGGAGGGAAGGCATATATGTGGGGTTCCATATTACCCACCGCGGGGCTCTGGGAACCCATCCGGGAGGGCAGGGGATTGCTGCTCACACCATCTGCGTGTTTCCCTCAGCCCTGCAGCGTCACCCGGGGCTCCCTGTGTCCCTGGACCAGCCCCTGCCCAGGCAGATGTCTCCTGGGAGGCCTGGGCTGGGAGGTGCTGCTGCACCCAGCCTCCTGCCCTCCTGGGATCTCCCCTTCCCTTGCAGCCGCCCGCCCTCTGTCCATGGCTGTCGATGATGGTCTTGAACTCCAACCAGCCAAGCTTCTTTCCCGTTTCCTGTTGAGCCCTGCCCTGCGCTCCCATTTCTCAGATTAGGAACTGAAGTCCAAAGTCACTAGAGACCCCCTCAAGCCCTCGCAGCATGCTGGGGTGGAGTGGCGTAGCCCCCTGGATAGCCCCCTGGACACTGTCCAGTGACTTTCATATCACCTTTGGCTTTTCCCGTGGGTCACGGCTCCCATTCCTCTGCCCTCTTGACTCTGCATCTGTTGGCACCCATATTGGAGTGCGCATGCGTCCGAGGCGCGGCCGGGGAGCGAAGCCCTTTGGGTGTGATGCTTCACCAATGTCGGCTGCCGAGGTAGCCTCCAGGTCCCCGGAACCTCAAGAAGAGTGGCCTTCTGACATTGTCTCTTTAGGGACCCGTGGGGTAGCTGGCCGGGCTATAAACCCAGGAGTAGGACGACTGGGTCCAGGGAGCAAGGATAATGACCCTCCTGGCCACTGCCGAGTCTCTGGCGGGCTCCGGGGCCGCCGTCTGGCCTGCAGAGCAGAGGCCTGGTTTCCTCACGGCCACCACCACTTAGTGTCCACTGCCTGGTTCCTCCCATCCTACTGACGTTTGGTTCTATCTTCTCTTAATTTGCATCTCCCTGATTACAAACAAGTGCGTCTGGCCACTCTTCATAACCTGTGGCCGTCTGGAAATACCCTTTTCCAAGTCGCATCTCCTATTCTTGCTTATTTCCTCGGGGGCTSTGTAGGAGGGTCCACAAACAGCCGCCAACCAGCCCCGGGAAACCCGCTGATTCTGGGCAGAGTCAATGTCCTGGACTTTAGCTTTTGACCTTGAGGCACACTGTTGTTCAGATCTTGGAGAAGCCGCCCCAAGAGGGACTCTGGAGCCTCAGTGGCCATCACGACATGCCAGCCGCTAGTTCCTTCCCTCCAGCCACGACACAAAGGGCAGAAGCAGCCATCCCTGAGGACTCCGTCCAAGGAGAAAAAGGAGCCAATAGATCAGCTCGAGGCCGSCGTCCGGGGGCTCCTTAGGGCGACAAGCTGTCAGACAGGTGGGTTTGTCCTTCCTGGGCCTTGGCTCCTTGTGTGGTTCACACCAACCTGGTACCTTTCCAGGGACTCAGCACCACCCCCCCACCTCGCCATGGAGCCTCTGCAATAGAGCCCTGTCCTCTGCCCCACGTCCTCTGCCCCACGTCCTCTGCCCCAGGTCCTCTGCCCCAGGTCCTCTGCCCCACGTCCTCTGTCCCCCACGTCCTCTGTCCCCCACGTCCTCTGCTCCACGTCCTCTGCCCCAGGTCCTCTGCCCCAGGTCCTCTGCCCCAGGTCCTCTGTCCCCCACGTCCTCTGTCCCCCACGTACTCTGCCCCACGTCCTCTGCCCCAGGTCCTCTGTCCCCCAGGTCCTCTGCCACGT